GTTTTAGCAAGTAGCATCTTCCTTAAATTATATATGTTGATCAGCAGATATTGGAGGCTTGCTAGTTCTTAGAGCTCATGAAGACAAATGAGAGGTGATGAGGAGTGTCACTCAGGTGCCAAAGGATGCCAAACTCTGGCCTTTAGAATACTTAATTTTTCCATAAATAAGAAGCCACACATCAGTCTCCTCATTGCCTGTTGCCTATAGCAATAGCATTCTCTTTTTACTGAACATCTCAAAATACTTGTGGATTAACATTAGACTCAAGGAAGAGAAAGGAAAGGCATCGTTAGTGCTACTTTGCTGAGGAGGAAATAAGTTATTGTCCTCTCCTTCCGTACCTCTCCATGCATAGAATTAGTTATCTGAACAATTGCTTAAATGTTGCACATAAATATCTCAATGAGAAGGCATATAAGTAATAATAATTATTATTCTATCCTCTGTGCAAGGCATTGTGCTAAGAACATCTCTTACCTTATTTCATCTTCACAATAATCTATAAGAGGCTATTATGATCCTTATTATATTGATGAATAAACTCTGATGTAGGAATGTTAAGTAACTTGCTTGAAGTTACGTAAGTGTTGTGTGGTGGACTCATAATCCAGAGCATCTTCATAGCCAGGTAGAGTTACATGATTTATTTCTCTTATCTGATCCATCATGGAGGGATGGAAACCAAAGGAGTGCAACTTATTTTTTATCCAGCACTACTTTTATTTAAGAATTTATTGTGAAAAGGTATTTTTGCCTAGGAGAGTTCATCTTTTACTTCAATTGGTTTCAATTACTTAGATTTCTTGGTGATCCAGCTGCTTTGAGAAACAACATTCTGTAATACTTAGTCCAGAAAGTGTTGAACATGATCAAATAATATCCAGGTTAATCACATTTTGTATCTGATTCTGTCTGTGTCATTATTATAGAGTTAGGAAGGCTGTAAGACAGCAAGACTGCTTTCCAGTTTATCTTCCAAATCCTAAAAATAGTACCTACATCTAGTTAATAATAAGAATAGCTAGCAATTATATAGTGCTTGCCTTATGCCAGGTACTTCTGACTGCAGTTCTAGGCCAGGAATTGCAAAATCTCTGCTAGATCTTATTCATTTTAGGAATATTTCATGGCAAAATGAAAGGTTCTAATCTGGAGTTCTGAGTAACATTATTCCTTGGTGAACATGATAGATTATCTTCTTGAAAGGGAAGAAAGAGCCATTCAAAAAATGTGACTGTGCCAATTTACTCATTGATCTAAAGTCATATGTTCTTTCTCTTCTGTGGAGGGGGTAAAAGGGAAAAGAGATAAATTTAATATCCAAGGGCTTACAACACATGGGAAGGAATAGCCATGCAAAAACTAATTACATATAATGCAATGAGGAATGCAAAACTTTAGGATGATAAAGAATGAAATTATTATATTAAAGATACAAACTATTAATATGCTAAGTGCTTATGTGAGAGAATATAGGAAGATATCATTAATTCTGTCAGGCTAAAATCAAAAACCTCTATACTTTATTCTAAGGATGTTTGTATGTTTAAGTTTTTATCGGTACAGATTATTGTGGCAGAGCCTTATGGTTGTCCTTAAGGGAAACGTTGGTTGGTTTGTGTATGAAGGTGGGGTGGAAGGTGCATGTTCTTGGGATTTTGTTCATTTTTGTTTTGTTTTGCTTTGCTTTACTCAGAAGAGGGCTAAATTAAGCACAATGTAAGATATTTCATCTATAAGCGAGTATTAGTGTGTGCGGCTCATTGTAAGTATTCTGGACTTAGGATTTAGGAAAGCTGAATTTAGGTCTAGATTTTGTCACTAGTTACTTTGGGAGGCCATTTTCCCTCTCTGGATCATCTGTAAGACTTGAAGCTTATAACAAATTATTCATAAGGACCCTTCAAGCTCTTATGTCCTGAGATTATTTGGGGAGAAAGATGAGGGAAAATGAAGCTTTTCTCTAAGAGACATTTTTATTTTGTAAAGCCCTTAGACTTGATTACTCATGTTGAGAATGGAGGTAAAGATGGAGGAGCTGGAGATCAGATTGCTATCTGTGGTAATCTGTGTGGATGAACTGTTCTACCAAGACTTTCCTGGATCTAGTTGCAATAGACTGGCTCACGATGCACCTGAATCATGGCACAACTGGTGAAGCTGTAAAAGAATCCAAATTAACTTTATTTTGCCTAACTCTTAATTCTTTGGAACTGTATGTTACAATTGCAGACAAGGGCTATGGTGTACAAGAGTTTCTGTAAACATGAGGATTTGGAAAACCTGTCTTTTACTATTACTCTTTCTCATCTGAAATGCCTATTTTCACTTGGACTTAAATTTCTTAAAATTTTTTGTTCATTCTTACCCTCTCTATCCTTTCTGGTCTCCCAGCCATCCAACATACATGGTCCAGGGATCATTATGTGTTGCTGCTTCCACTGACATGACTTCGCTTACACAAATTCCCAGAGGGGCAAACATTTGCATGGATATCATGAAATGTTACAGATCACTTTTTCCCATCTTCCCCCGCCCCATGTGGAATTCTCATTGGTTGCAAAGAGTTATAAATACACTTGTTCTTTGTGTCTTTTGTGAGTAAAGAGCCAAAGACACAAAGGAAAGAGCTGTTTCAAAAAAGCTTACCTTTAACATCCCTGGTGTTGGAAATGCTTAGGGGTCAGACTCAAGTGTGGGTGCACATGTGCAGCTCACATTGTGAGGTGAGAGGGGCCTCTTGCTAAGTCTCACATGCCGGTCAGAACTCGTGTTATTTTTTGTGACAGAGGAAGCCTTAAGGTTTTGATCAGCTATTTGTCAGCAAGAGCACAGGAGATGTTAATATCCATCTTAACTTGGGTGCATTGTTATGGCCTGAAAAATGACTGTGCTATGTCTTGACCCTCAGATAGTCATGTATCTCCCATGGTGATGTGAGAAATTAAAAACACAAGGTGTGCACGTGCATGTGGTGTAGGAGTCTATCTAAAACAGGGTGAATTTGGGAAGACTCCCAGCTGTGTGACTCACTGGCTTTAGTCAACCAGTTCACTTATCTGTACAGCCTCTGTATTTCTGAGAACAAAATACTGATGGAGAGAAAGGAAGCCTGATGGGAGGACCCATTCTGTTCCTCATGGATTAAATGTTGATAGAGGAGGAAGGAATCCAAGATCAAGGCAAAGACAATAGAGATGAGAGTTCACAAAGTAAATTCACAGGGGAATTTTATAGTTCTTTTATTATTACAAAAGCAGTACATATGGTAGCAAATTAGAAAATAAAGACAAACATTTTAATAATTAAAATATCATATTCCTAAGCAACAAGAGCCATTACCATTAATTTTTAGTGTATATTATTCCACATCTTTCCCTCTGTGTGTGTGTTTGCTAAATGAGTTCACACTATACTTGCATTTTTTAGTCATTGTATTAGTCCATTTTCATACTGCTATGAAGAAATACCTAAGACTGGGTAATTTATAAAGAAAAAGAGGTGTAATGGACTCACAGTTACACATGGCTGGGGAGGCCTCACAATCATGGCAGAAGGCAGAGGAGGGGCAAAGGCACGTCTTATATGGTGGCAGGCAAGAGAGCTTGTGCAGGGGAACTGCCCTTTAAAAACCATCAGATCTTGTGACACATATTTACTGTAATGAGAACAGCATGGGAAAAACCCACCCTCATGATTCAATTACCTCCTACTGAGTCCCTCCCACGACATGTGGGGATTGTGGGAGCTACAATTCAAGATGAGATTTGGGTGGGGACACAGCCAAACTGTATCAGTCAATAATCTCCACCTTTCCATTGGGATATTTTCAGTTTTTATCCCATACAACAACTAGATCAAAATCAAATTTCCCAGTGACCCCAAAATGTCCTTTACAGGATCTAATGCAGAACCCTGTGGCATCTTGTTGTTTCCCTTAAGTCTTAATTTGAACCTAGCACCAACTACAACATAGACTAATTGAAAAGATGAAACCAGTTGTCCTGCAGCCTGTCACACCTTCTGGATGTGCTTGGTTGTTTCCTCATTGTATTGTTTAGCCTCTTCCTGTACCTCCTATGCATTTTCTACATTAGAAGTTTGACTTTTAATTTGAAAGTGTGGAGTGGGAAAAAAAAAGAAAGTCTGGAGTGGGAGACAAGAAGTACTTGAAGATCTTTTAAAGATAAGAAATGATGACTGTCATTAAAAATGATGTGCAAGAATACATCAAGTGCAAAGAAGCAGAGGAGAAAGAACATAGCAAAAGGGACCATAATGGTTGGAGCTGAAAGATATTGATATGCCTATATGAGAGTGATTATTTTAGGGGCCCCAAGAAATAACTGGGAAGCACTAACTGGGAGCTAAGTTCCTGCATGAGCAAATGAAGACTTAGCACCATTACAATTTGGGCATAAATATAAATGTGACCTCAGTTATGTCCACAAGCTGGTAACATTTGGGTTACACCTGGAAATAGGTTCAAGATATGTAACTATGAAGGTAATGCTACACGTGATTAAAACAATCACACTGTAGAGGGATATGTGAAATGAAAACTAAGTTTTCCCTTTCCCTAATCTCCACTGCCCCCTCTCTATGCTGCTAATGATTTCTGCGTCTGATTCTAACAGTTTTAATTGTAATTTTCAAAAATAATTATGCTTCTATTTCTTGTTTTTATCAAATTCAGGCATTATCCTTTGGTCTCTAGGTACAAAATGTGAGGAATTTAGAACTTAAGTGGCTTTTTGTCTTTCCTTCTGTTGAACTCCTACTTTTTATTGTATCAGCATTTATAGTCATTACAAGCTTTTAAAATCATAATTTAGTATTCTGTTCTTTGTCTATAGGTTGAGTATAATAATAAAAAACCTATGTGAAACATTTATAAAAATTATTACCATTAGCCAGGCATGATGGCATGTGCCTGTAGTCCCAGCTACTCGGGAGGCTGAGGTGGGAGGATCACTTGAGCCTGGAAGGTCGAGGCTGCAGTGAGTCATGACCATGCCACTGCACTCCATCCTGGATGACAGGTGAGACTCTGTCTCAAAAAAGAATTAAAATAAGTATTACCTTAATATAATCTCTCTAGAAATAAATATGATTGAACCTATAGAGAAGAAAATATAATCCTTAATTTAAAACATTTTGTCACTCAAAGAAGAATAATACGTGTATCCCTCTCTAAGGGATGACCTGTAAATTTCTTTTTTACCTCTGTAAATCTTTCTGGGTCATTTTACGTAACTGAAGCTTCTTGTATCTCATCTTTTTCTGCTTTCTTGGCTTATTTTTTGATTGTGCTGTGTTACTTCACAAGTAATTTGTTCTTATTGAGTGTATAGTTACTAAACTTACTGAATTCTTATGTGTCTACAAGTGCTGTCTTTTACCCTCACACTTCATTGAAATTTGGCTGAATGTAGAAAACTAAGTTCAAAATTGCTTTCCCTCAGAACTTTGGGTACACTGCTCTGTTGCCTACTGGAGCTCTACGATGCTGAGGTGAGTGTGTAATCAGGCTGAGGTTCCTCAAAATTTGCCAGAGTCAGGAAGACTTATCTCTGGGGTGAAGGTCATCAATGCTAGGTGGCTCTGCCTTTTTTCCTGCGTTGTTATGGGGGTCCAGATTATCTCAAACTTGAGTCCCTTTTTTGACCCACAACTCCCTCATCAGTGGCCCTCCTAGACATATTTCCTACATCCTTTGGAGGGCAAGAGCTGCCTCAGTAGTTATTCTATCTATTGAGAGACAGACTCCCCCCATCCCATATATCCCAAATACAGTTCTTTAACATTTCAGGCTAATTTGTAATTTCTGAACTAGGATTGTTTTGGGGGCGGCGGGGGTGGGGCTTGCAAAGGTCAGCCTTTATCTCTAGAGTTTGGGCTTCTGTCACTTCTGCCACAACTTCTCCACTTACCAGATGCCTTTTCTTTTCTTTGGATGATAATCCTTCAAATTTCCTGATTCATTGATCACTCTCAGTCCCATTTTTCACTGCCATAGTGGTTTGAATTTAAAAATGAATCTTTTAAAAATCATTTCAAAGGAGCCTTAGAGACAGTGGGCATATGTGTGCAGAAATGCAAGACACATTTTTAACAGAACAGTACAAGATAGTATGGATAGACACACACATACAGAAATAATAGGATGATAGTGCAGCTAAACTTAATACCAATGATCACAGGCTTACTTATGTTTACTAATTTTTTTGACTATGTGCATGTTTTACTTTTGTAATTATAAAAAACAACAAGGTGTGGGTGTGTGTTTTAAAGAAATAAATGATGGACTTTATTGTGTGAAGATAGAAAGCAAGGGTGTAAACCTAAACAGGAATGGAAGTTTTTCATCTGGTTCTGTAACTGTCTGCCTCCCTTACCATGCAATGGTTATGTCATGCAATCCAGTGCAAATCATTTATATCACATGCAAAGCACACTAACTTTAGGCTCCTCAGCAAATTAAATCAAGGATATGAAACCTTTACTGAGCACTCACTATGTGCAGTGCTAGGCAATGCAACATAAGGGGGCTGCCGTAGATGGGGGTGGACCTCAGGAGGAGATGGAAGCAAAAGGCTGGCTCTGAGTTAGATCCATCCAACAAGGTCCAGTCTGCTTTGTACTAGAAGGTTCCCAGGAGACTGCGTAAGTTCTGGGCCTCCTTCCAGGTGTTCTAATCTTTGAAACTATAAATGTCATGTTACCCGTTTAATCAGATTCTAAAAGGGCTTCTTGGCAGAAAAATATGGGAACTACTGTGGCAGATCAACTACAAAGACAAGCCAGTTTATTGGTTCAGGCTTCAGAAGAAACACTGGATGAAACTAAAATTTGCTGCTAAGAAAAATGTGATAAATCTAGTATTACTTAAAAGCTTCTAAAGCAATGGCAAATAATGATAACAATAAGTTGCATACCTCTTCCACGTGCACAGTTTCTGCCCTGTGACTTCAAAGAAAGCTCCTCAAGTCCAGGGGGAGACACGCGGCTCTGCTGAGGAGATATTTATGGGGCTGTTATGGCGCCTGGGATGTTCCTATTATACTCACCATTCAAACCTCCAGATTTCCAGGACCACAGCAAACAAAAGACTTGAGGTATTTTAAGAGGGGTTTTGCTTTTTCCTATAACACAAGTGATCAGGTTTGCATTGTTGTCATTAATTTTGAACTCTTGTCATTAAGTCTACTTATGTTATGCTTCATCTATTTTAAAATACAGAGAAACAGACTGGAGAAGTCCTTTAAGCAGCCTTAAGTGGAGTAGAGAGCTGGTAGCTATGTGGCTAATTTAATAAATGTCACTACACAAAGAATATCACAATGGAGTTCAGCAGAATAAATGAAATCTGATAACCTGGTTTGCTGCAGTGAAGGCCATCCCTTCAGTACTGATTTAGATCTGCAAAGTCTGAAGGCATCAAATCATTTGTGAAGCAGTTTAACTTCCTTTACCCCTTTCCACCCACTTATCCTTTGCCCCACCACAACCTTGCAACCATACAAAAGCCAGATGCAGTGCCAGAAGCACCCAACCTTCCTCAATCACTCAGTTCAAGGCTAGCACCTATGAATTTAATGAAATCTTATTACAGAGAAATAAGTGTGGATGCTTCCTTCCCTATGTTCTATGTTTACAGTTTTCTTTCCTCACCCCAAAATGAACTTAATTACAAGAAATGTTTCACCTTCAAAGAGTTATGTAATCGATTTTGTGTACCAGAGGAAAGGGGAAAAAATGAGTAATGCTGGCTTTAAGATATGGTTGTAAAATACGTCTGTATGTGCACACTTTTGTTGACTTCAAATTTTTTCCTTTTATATATAATTTATTCGTTTTTATTTAGTATTTTATTTTATAGCAATCTCAGATATTAAGTCCCTTCCTTCTTTCCTTCCTTCCTTCCTTCCTTCCTTCCTTCCTTCCTTCCTTCCTTCCTTCCCTCCCTCCCTCCCTCCCTCCCTCCCTCCTTCCTTCCTTCCTTCTTTGAGTCTCTCTCTGTCACCAAGGCTGGAATGCAATGCTGCAATCTCAGCTCACTGCAACTTCTGCCTCCTGGATTCAAGCGATTCTCCTGCCTCAGCCTCCCAAATAGCTGGGACCACAGACATGTGCCACCACGCCCAGCTAATTTTTGTATTTTCGGTAGAGATGGGGTTTCAGCATGTTGGACAGACTGGTCTTGAACTCCTGAGCTCAAGCGATCCACCTGCCTTGGTCTCCCAAAGTGCTGGGATTACAGGTGTGAGCCACCTGCCCGGCCACATTAAGTCATTTCATTCTACAAGTGCTAAAAAAAAAAAAAAAAAAAAAGACATTTTATATAAATGTATATTGTTATAACACCAAACAAAATTATCAGTATTTCCTTGGTGTCATCCAAAACACTGAAAATATTTAAATTTCCATGATTATCTTAAAAATATATGTTACAAGTGGTTGTTATAATGTTATTTGGTGGTTTTATCTCTTAAGTATCTGCTAATACTCTTTCTTTCTGTCCCTTTCTTCTTTATGCCATTGACTTGTCGAAAAAAATCAGATCAATTATCCACTAATCCCTCTTGCAGTAGTTTTTAATCAGCCAGATGTAGAATAGGGGCACCTCCCCACATATCTTTTTTTTTTTTTTTTTTTTTCAGGTGAAGTTTAGCTCTTGTCACCCAGGCTGGAGTGCAATGGTGCAATCTCAGCTAACTGCAACCTCCGCCTCCTGGTTCTAGCAATTCTCCTGCCTCAGCCTCCCGAGTAGCTGGGATTACAGGCACATGCCACCATGCCCAGATTCTGAAACAGAATCTTCTTCTCTGTTTATCTAGTTATTTTTGTTTTTGTTTTCTTTGAGACCGGGTCTTGCATCTGGCTCACTGCAACCACCGCCTCCCGGGCTCAAGTGATCCTTCCACCTCAGCCTCCTGAGTAGCTGGGACCACAGGTGCGCACCACCATGCCTGGTTAATTTTTGTATTTTCAGTAGAGATGGGTTTTCACTATGTTGACCAGGCTGGTCTCAAACTCATGACCCCAAGTGATCCACTTGCCTCGGCCTCCCAAAGTGCTGGGATTACAGGTGTCAGCTACTGTGCCCAGTGTGTTTATCTCGTTATTTTTAAACTTTCCTGACTCTTGCTTTTTGTGTTAAGGGTAAGTATGGTAGAATGTTGTACTTATATATGGTTTCAAAAAGTGGGCTTGCCCATTTCACTTTGTAAATACTTTGTTAACAGACTTGACTATAAGTTCCATGAAGACAAGGCCAAGTCTGTCTTATTCACCATGATATTCCTAGGCCTTCACAGGGTCTGGCATAGCTTAATGCTCAAATGTTTATTGAATAAATGACAAATGAATGAGTGCATGTTGTGTTGCACCAAAGTGTGACCACACCTTAAGTTTGAAGAGCTCCTCACTCTTTACGAATCTCTTGTGTATAGTCTTTTACTTGATCATACAACAACCACATAAGACAAATACTGTAATTCCCATTTAACAGACAAGAAAACAAGGTGAGAATCATTACTCAGTTATGTGTTAGGCATGGATAAAAGTGAGTCTAGTTTCCAGGATGTTTTAATCTCATCAACTGTCTTTTTTAAAACTTTTTTTTTTTTTTAAGTTCAGGGGTACAAGTGCAGTTTGTTACATAGGTACACTTGTGTCATGAGGGTTTGTTGTACAGATTATTTCATTATCCAGGTATTAAGCTGAGTACCCATTAGTTATTTTTCCTGATCCTCTCCCTCCTCCCACCCTCCACCCTCTGAAAGACCCCAGTGTGTGTTATTCCCCTCCACATGTGTCCATGTGTTCTCCTCATTTACCTCCCACTTATAAGTGAGAACATGCAGTATTTGGTGTTCTGTTCCTGTGTTAGTTTGCTAAGGATAATGGCCTCCAGCTCCATCTATGTCTAACTCTCTACACAACTTCACCTACTCTGATAAGGCAGACATGCATGTTACTTCACAACTTGGAAAGCCTCTTAGCTCATTTGGTCTCTTCAGCAACCATTCAAGGTAGGAGTGACTGTCTCAACTTTGAAGATGAGGAAACTAAGTCTGAGTCAAATGACTAAGATGAAAAGCCTATACTTGACCCCAGATTTTCTCTTTTCATTATTATTGTACTTTAAGTTCTAGGGCACATGTGCACAAAGTGCATGTTTGTTACATATGTGTACATGTGCCATGTTGGTGTGCTGCACCCATTAACTTGTCTTTACATAAGGTATATCTCCTAATGCTATTCCTCCCCCCTCCCCCCACCCCCCAACAGGCCCCGATGTGTGATATTCCCCTTCCTGTGTCCAAGTGTTCTCATTGTTCAATTCCCACTTATGAGTGAGAACATGCGGTGTTTGGTTTTCTGTTCTTGCAATAGTTTGCTGAGAATGATGGTTTCCAGCTTCATCCATGTCCCTACAAAGGACATGAACTCATCCTTTTTTATGGCTGCATAGTATTCCATGGTGTATATGTACCACATTTTCTTAATCCAGTCTATCATGGATGCGCATTTGGATTGGTTCCAAGTCTTTGCTATTGTGAATAGTGCCGTAATAAACATACGTGTGCATGTGTCTTTATAGCAGCATGATTTATAATCCTTTGGCTATATACCCAGTAATGGGATGGCTGGTTGACCCCAGATTTTCTGACTTCAAATGTAGTTTGGTTTCTACTATACAACTGATTATACTGCTGCCTTGTCTGTCCCCTGCCTTATTCCACTGTACAGGCTCAAGTCCTTTCTTTTTCCCACCTCCCCAAGTATATTCATCTCTCTCTGGGTAGCCATGGTGGGTGTTGGTGTGTTCATATATTACATCTTCCTCCCATTTACATCACATCAACCAGTTTCCTATCATTGCCCACTACCCACCTTGAGGCAGAAGCAGAGTTTTCTCCTTCGTATGCCTAATTCTAACCTCTTAAGTAGACAAGGCCCAGCAGATGTTGTTGACTCACTGGGCATTTAAATGGTCAGCATTTTGGATGTCCTTTGCTTCTAATAGAAATCTAAAAATGAATGAACTAGGGAGTTTTGCTATTTGTCAGGCGTAAATTATCATACTTCAAAAGTGAATAGCTGTTTGAAAGTTAGACATTAAATAATTTCTATTTCTAAAGTTAAATTAAAAAAACAGCATTAGCGAATGATTGGAGAAGGAGCCATTGCCTAAATGTAAACAGGATGATGAGAATCTGGCCATTTGGAGAAGACATTCATCACTCTGGGCATATATTTACACACACACACACACACACACACACACACAGACCTTCTGTTTTTCCTTGTGGAGAAAACACTAGCTGTTCACTAGCTATTTAAAACTTACATTTTTTCTTGATTTGTTTTAAAAGATTATTTTTAAAGGGGTTGAATACATGTACTTCCTCAATTTGATCTTGAACTCAGGTCTCAGTGATGTGAGAATATAGGGTTTGGGGCATGCACCCCCATTGCACCTTTGGAAAATTACTTTAAAACATTTGGAAGGCTTGCACTGAAGGGAGGATTGGCGGGTGGGAACAGTTTTATTATGCACGCTCTTTTATGGGTTGTGGCCAGATATTTTCAATGTGCTATTATCCTGGGTTTTATGGAGTTCTTGGACCCTGTGGATATAAACATCTGGGAATAAATGGTTGAATGTGAGCAAAGCTACATGCTATTCTGCCAGGGAAGAAATACATTTGTGCAGCATTTAAAATGTAGTGAATTATCCACAAGGGAAGTAATAATTTAATAAGTATACTAACTACCAATAAGCCAAATAAAAGAGATTTTTAAAAAAGCTCTTCTACTAGCTGTATTCAAATGTTTTATATGTGTTTTATCTACATGCATACGATCAAGTCATACAGATTCTTGTCTTCACAAATTGTCACATCTACCATTGGAGGCTTGGTGAAGGAGACTAATTGGTGAATGAAGGAAAAGATTCTGCCACTTAATTTATTTCACAGGTAAGGCTGAGATAGGACATGAAA